CTCTCACACATGTGTGTGTGTGTGTGTGTGTGTGTGTGTGTGTGTGTGTGTGTATATATATATATATATAGAGAGAGAGAGAGAGAGAGAGAGAGAGAGAAACGTTCTTTCATGAAGCCATGTTGGTTTCTACTTATGACAGCAATGTATTCAGGAACTACAAATGGTTATGTCTAAGAGAGAGAGATAAAATGTCAGCATAGCACATTTAGTGCTTTAGGTGAACATAGCAGTAAGGCATCTGTGTGTGTCTGAGGTATTCATTTTGGTCCAATGGCATTGGTTTATGTTTTGTGGAATCACATGATATCCTGGCTTGGCCACTTGTCACATTTCCATTGGATCACATGAAGATCAATGTACCAGCTCCTCGATACTAGCCTTCAAAAACTACAAAATAGAAACATCCGAGATTGAGTAAGACAGCTAGGGAATTGGCAGTTTATTAAAGAAGATAACCATGGCAGCCTCTGTACTTCCACCATGACAGGGTCACATACAGTAGTCATTCTGTATTCTTGTTGTCTGTTGATTCCTTAGTGTTGACTTTCTCTTCCACAGATCGAGAACCTGCCTCCAGAGTTGTTCCAGTGCAAGAAGCTGCGTACCCTCAACCTTGGGAACAATGTCCTTCAATCTCTACCTTCCAGAGTGGGCGAGCTCACCAACCTGACCCAAATGGAGCTGCGAGGCAACAGGTTGGAGTGTCTACCAGTGGAGTTAGGAGACTGCCATCTCCTGAAACGCAGTGGACTTGTAGTGGAAGAGGACTTGTTTAATACTCTGCCATTGGAGGTTAAGGAGAAATTAACAAGAGCAGACAAGGAACAAGTCTGAGGGAGACTTTAGATTCAACAAGTTCGGAAAGGTCCAATTTCATTGCCAGTCTGGCCTAATGCATATTGTAAGCATAAACTTTCAAAGCCTCTCAATGGGCTCCAACTTCAATTCCTTCAGAGCGAGCACTGAGCAAAACAATCTGAATATTGTTACCTTTAGTTCTGCCTGTATTAATGCCATTGCATAGAGCCTGTATTCTTGGATAATTCTAGAGGCAGAGGAAGCTACTCCCTTTTCTGTTTGTTCACAAACTTCCATTACTGCGTTTAAAACTACAGTCTCACTGTAAAAAAACACGCATGTAATTAGTGAGCAAATGCCGTGAAGGAAGGGGATAGGAGATTTGATTTTGATTTTCCATTGATTAATTTGGAAGTGTCTTATTTTATCCCTTTTTGCTGCCAGATATTTTTCTTGCTTTTTTTTTGCACAGATTTTAAATTGCGCATTTTAGGCCTGACTATTTATTAAAACCCCCAAACCTATTTTCTGAGAGCAGAGACCCTGCAGAACAAAATGCTGTCCACTGCAAATTTTTTGTCACTCGCAACTGTTTTATCAAACCCATATTTTCAGAAAGAATACAATCAAATGTATTTTATTGCACACGGATAGAATATAATGGCCATTTTTGGTCAAATAAAGCGGGATTTTGTCAAGTAATAGATACCCAACCTTGTCGCTGTCTTGCATCAGTGGCAGTGAAAAGGGTCAAGGTATTCCTCCATACAGTTGCCAGTTACCATTTGGCATCTTATAACATTAACATCATTGTCATATCCAAAATAAGTGTGACCTAGCTGGTAGAGGTTGGCAAGGCTGAGCACAGAGGGCAGACCTTGAAAGGGAACTCCCCAGCCAAAATTGTTTCAGATTTAAAAGGGGCAAGAGAAACTCAAATGCAACAGTTGGCTGTAAAATTAATCTTTTAGGGGCCACCTTATGTCTACTGGGTGTTACACTACTATAAATTCAAACATTTTGGTAATTGACATTCTAGTAACCCAATAAAATGGGACCATTAAATATCTGATTCCAGCCTTATTGCACTGGAGAAGAGTTAAGACTAAGGTCCATTTAAATCATTAAGGACTTGTGTCGACCAGCTTTGGCCTTGTGCTGATGACATGTGTTTGAGACACTTCTGAGACCTTTTAGAATCAATTGACAGTTGCATTAGACCTGCAGGTGACCTACTGCTGACCTGAATTTGAGCTGCTTCCAGCAGCTTTTCATTCCCATAAACTTGTATGGGAATGCAGAGCCCATCAGACATGAAGAAAAGCCTGTAAAGACAAGCTAAGGGCTGCGATGAAAGAGTAACCAGTTTGACGGACCTGTTTTAGAACCTCTGTTAGGTTTGTGTTGTCGGCATCCCTAGTAGGGAGATTAACCCTCAATTTTGTGCTGTTTTGTGCCTTCCTGGCGGTAATCTCGTGTGGCTCGGGGGTACATTTTCTGTAGCGGTAACCCCGAGCCACACTCGGGCGTCTTCCGGGTTCCTTCCCTGCGAGCGCCGGCATTGCAGGGGGGCGGAACCGGCGAGAAATTCAAAAGTAAAAAATACTGAGATAATCATACCGCCAGGGAGGTTAATAGCGAAGGGAAGTTACTTCAAAGGTTGCACAAACTTGCCGGAGGCCCTATCCCTTCCCTACTCTTACAGAAAAAAGGTGTTTCATTGTTGTGCTCCTGCGAAGGACCTTTTCTTTATTCCATGTGACGTGTCACTGACACAGGAATTGAGGGATGCATGAGCAACAGAGCTTACACGCTATCCAAAAATGAAAAACTTTGGAAATCGACTATATAGCAGAATTCCATGATATTTAAAAAAATGCAGTGCCTGGTTCTCTTAACTGCTTTTTTTACAGCGTAGTTTTCCCGGAACTGGAGGTGGACTCCTGTTTAAGTTAACCTGGTGCTTTTTGTTCATTGACACTAACTTATTATTATTTTTATAATTATTTTGCGATGCATCCCGACTTTTTTTTATTAAACAGTTATCCACTTCTCCTGTTTTGCTGTTCAGTAGTTCCATGTAAATGGACCACCGTGCCAAAGTGTGGGACAGATTGACCCAAGTGCCCTCTGTTCTATCTGCACAGAGGGTAGAGGTTCAGTCGGAGTTGGCTTTTCTGTTATAAAAAGCAGTGTAATCTAATAGCAATCTACTGAATAAAAAAAAATGCTTATGTATATTTTTTTTTTGTAGCATGAAATTGTAAAACTGTTCATTGGCAGTGGCATGTTGTCAACAACAACTTTGCTGCACTTGTATGAAATCAGCATGCAGGACTTGGACTATAATGTGTCTGAAACGGTGGCCTCCTACAATGTGACTCAGAGCCTGGTCTCTGCACAAAGCCTACTCTGCTAAACTTAACTCTTCCTTCAAGAGTGGCTCATCAATATCAGGACTAAAATACCTTGCATGTTAGTAATGGTTTGTTTTTCTCTTCTCTATATCCTGCACTAGATAAGGAGGGAAAGAAATTGAGATCTGGACCTTTTTGTCATTGCTCTTTTGTCCAGAAATACAAGAAAAGGCATTTAAATATATGTTTTAACCCAGAAAAGGAAAACTGAAATGTTATTACTTTGCCATTTTAGCATCTCTTTCCCTAGCCAGCTGTGTAAAAGGAAATCTGTACTCAGAGCCGGTGCTGCCATTAGGCAAACTAGGCAGCCACCTAGGGCGCACTGCTGCCTAGGGCGCAGCCTCGACCACTAACCCCCCCACAGCGCCCCCCTGTCTATTTCAAATTGCAAAAGCCATTAGCAGGCTGTCTATTGCACCCGACCAATGAGCAGAGGAACTGAGAGACTTTCTCTCTCACGTCTACTACTGTGCTCAATGTGTGGGGTTTCAATAGGAAGTCTGCTACTGGCTATTTCAAATTAAAATAGCCAATAGCAGTCTTGCTATTGCTCCTGTCTGGTTACATCCACTTGTTGCCTGCAGAAGCTATAAGGCGGGAGACTTGGGAGGTGGGAGGGATTGGGAGGCAGGCTGGGGGGTGCAAGTAGCTGGTCTTGCCTTGGGCGCAAAATAGTCTAGCACCGGCCCTGTCTGTACTGAGGGGAATGTATTGGCTGTGATGCTTGACCTCTCCTAAAATATTTGCTTGTCTGTCATGCTAAACTAATTTGTTTTAAAGCGCAGTTGAACGTTTCAGTGTAAATCGGCTAAATACACTCCAGGTGCATCAGCATTAAAGGCTTGCAAAGTTTTATTTTTAAAAAGCAGCCACAGACTGAGTACAAAAGCCTGGGTCCGGCCAACATGCTGCAGAAAAGGACCCTTGCTCTCTGTGTTGGAGCAGTGGCCTGTCTGCAGAGGTCCAACAACGCCCGCTGCCGAGTCAAAGGCGGAGCTTTCCAATCAGCATGGAGCAAGGGCTTTACTGATTGCACAGCTATAGGTCTGACTCGGCATTGGGCATGATATACCTCTGCAGAGACACTACTGCTTCCACACAAACAGCAAGGGTCCTTCGCATCACCGCGCTGGCAAGTACAGGATTTTCTACTCAGGGTGTGACTGCTTTCTAAAGAAAACAAACTAGAATGCTTTGCACAACTTTGGTGCACCTAGAAAATATTTAGTTGATTTAAAAAAAAGTTTTAGTTTGGCTTGAAGAGTCTGAGTCTCTGATGCAAAACAATTCCGTAGTCAATGAAGTATGAATACTTGCCTTACCTGTTTACTTGTTTTAGGTTACCAACTCAAAAACCATTGGAGCACTTGCATGGCGGTAAGTCATCTACCGTTTTTTAAAAGAGTTCAGGAATGGCAGCCTTACGCTCAGTCCACCGCCTTCACATATAGCCACTTGACCAGGGGTAGCAAACCTCCGGCCCTTCAGCTGTGGTGGAACTACAAATCCCATGAGGCATTGTAGTTTCACCACAGCTGGAGGGCCGGGGGTTTGCTTCCCCTGTTCTTGACTGAATGACAACCTGCTCTAGCAATTAAATCTGGCAGCTGGTTGCTATGTGAGTATAGTGTTCTGGTAGACAACTGGATTCATTAGACCTTAAGATATTTTTATTCAGGCATCACACATTTCTCATATTGAACTTTACCGGGCAAATATCTTTTTATGAAGACCATTCAACTGTGTAATCTGTATTTGGAACAAAATGCTTTTGCTTGGCGCACGCCATTGTTGCTTTGAGCTAACGAAGATATTGTCACAGTCAGTACAGATAGAATGTTGTTACTTTGGGGACAGGCAGATCTCATCTTAATTTTTGCCCATTTAGTTGCTGGTCACAGTGGTAGCTTTTGGAACAAAATCTATGCTCCTGCTTCTGTCTAACCATTTTACGAAACTTCGGCTTAACAGCAACAACATTGTCAAATCAACAAGTAAAAGATGAGGGAAATGCCAAACCTTGTCTTTTGTGACAACGTTCCTATGTCTCCCTGGTTATGGGCTGCATAACCAGTGGTGCGGCACTGATGACCTGCTCTCTGCCTATGGCAAGGATCATGGGTTTGAGTAGCTCAAGCAGGAACTTAACAAACCATATCAACTATGTACAGTGGTACCTCGGTCCACGAACGCTTCTGTTCGCAAAAAAATCGGTGCGTGAACAGGAAGTTGGGCAAAATTTTGCTTTAGTTCGCGAACTCCACATCGGGTGACGAACACAACCACAGCCATCTTCCCTGCTCTAAAGTCCAAGGACCTGTAGCACTCCTTACCAGAATTCCCAAATGTTATTTGATGGTGCTCTCAGTGGCCGCGGATGGCGCCGCGTTCAGCATAAGTATAGGAACGTCACCAGCACGACAAAGACTTAAATGTCAGTGAAAATTCATTTATTCATGTCAGTCAATACTCAAAGTATCATCTGGTGATACTTTGAGTATTGACTGACATGAATAAATGGATTTTCATTAACATTTAAGTCTTTGGTGTGCTGGTGACGTTCCTATACTATCTTCCCTGCTCTGACACATGGTTGTGGCTTCCTCTAGTCGAGATCACGGTCTGATCACAGTTTGATTCGCTTCGCCACCAGAATCGTGGAACGTATTAAGTTTGTGAACCGAGGTACCACTGTATTTTGCTGTGTTCCTAGTTAACCTTTTAGGCAGCCCTGCTGATTTGGTGGCTTTGCCTGAACACTGCCTTCTACAGTGATTGCACGACCAATGTCAGTTTCTTTACAGAAGGCAAGTTTTTGACCCCCCTCCCTCAACCCTTTTCTTGTAACATAATTTTGGTTACTGTGGGGGGGAAGTCAAAGTTGGGTTCACTTTACTCAGAATTCCATTTTGAAGAAGGGACGTTTAAACTAGTGTTTTTCCATCGAAGGGCTCTACCGGTGCCCTCTAGCTTTATATGATTGCTCTAAAGCAACACTGTGTCTCATACCACATGTACGTACCGTGCCAACAATCTGAAGTTTTCCATCCATATTTGCAGGTTACACTGACCAGTTCTAGTCTTCAGAATCTTTGTGGAAGACTACATTTCTTCTGCTTGTGTTTACTTGGCAGCTATTACAGGATATGTTCTCAAACTGCAGCCCAAACTACAGGATAAGAATCCTCCCTTTGTCTCGTCCGATAAACCAGGAAGCACATTCAGGTCTGAACATTTAACTTGAGCAGTTCATAAAATGTGTATTGGCTGATGAGTTACATAAGGAGATTGTTCTTATACAGTGATCTTCAATGTGTTTCAGTTGCTGAAGCTGCAGTTTAACTTTTTTTTTGCTAAAGTTTTGTTTGCATTAGTGAAAAGCTTTTTTTTTTTTTTTTAGATAATCGGCAGGTGTATAGGCAGCGTGCGACCGCATCTACTGTACGCTCGCACGACTTTCGTCTTCCTAGCACGCTGGAAAACCTGCTGTAAATAGTAGGATTTTCGGCGGGTTGGTATCATGCTCATGCAAGAGCACACTGCCCGCTCAGCACTGCAACCATTGGCAAGCCCTGCCCTCAGCGGTGAGGGCTTGCGATGATCGCAAGTACGATCTGCCTGTCCAAGATGGGCAGATTGTACGAAATTTCAACGACCTTACAACCATCGCACAACGAAAGTCGTTCGATGGTTGTAAGGTGTATGGCCGATTTTAACCAACAATGAGTGACCTCAAGGTTTTTTTTACACCTAGGGGCATATTTATAAAGCTGTGAAATTGAGTTTTACCAAACATTCACTACAGTTGAATCCTTTACTCATTCAAAACACATGCATTAGGTGGCATCACCTGCTGTGAATGTTTGCAAGTCACATTGACTGCTTTATAAATGTGCCCCCAAGTGATATACATATACGAGCGTTTATGCTTCAAAGGCAAAGTTTTTATTGGCTTTTGGCCAATTCTATTTTAAATGTTATGTTTTTAAGCTAATACATGTATGTTTTTGTATTACTTTAAATTGTTTGTAGAAAATCTTTATTTTGCAAAGTTAACATTTAATTCTGACAATTAGTTTGCAAAGGATGCCGGGTGTTCAGGGAACTCCATACTGTGCCTGCATTAGCAGCCTGTTGCAAGTATAGCTGGCCATAGATTGGTTGAACAATCAAAGCAATCGATTCCCTCATAGTGGATGGAGGATTCTCCACTGCCGGCTATTGTATTCAGCAGCCACGGGTGCGGAGGCTGACTAAATACAATGGCGCTGCCAAACAGTCACTATGTCTGATAGGATGCAGTCACCATTTGGCCAATAATTTCCCACCCAGCTCAGTCAATTTTTAAATACTTTCTGACAATAGATTGTCGAGCTGGGTGGTGCTTGCAGGGTGAAATCTAAGCTGCCTGTGACCAGCACAAAGTGTATTTCCACTGTTTAAGCCAGATTGGGATAATACCTTCTTTATACTTGTTACAGGTTCCCATTCACATTGCATCTAATATTTTAAAAATGCTGCTTACCTTTTTAGGTGCTTTTTCTTTCTTGCTTAAAAATCCTACCTAGTCATCCCCCCCCCCCCCCCCTCCA